ATAATAATAATAATAATAATAATAATAAGAGAGTTAATTTTTAGTTAGATACTGAATTTTGGTTTCGGAGTTCATAATTAATTTTGAATATATTTAGATAAATTATAACATTTTAAAGGATACAAATAAAAAAATATAATTTATACAGTTCTCTGGGATAATTTTTCTAATATATTTTTTAATTTGTTTACAAAATTAAATTAATTTCGTAAATTTTTTATTTTATATAAATGTTTATGGAAAGATACTTATATGAAAGAGTGAGGTGCCACATAATTAATTTTGTGGGTGGGTGGAGTGTTGAATAATAAATAGATTTGGGAGAATGAGTTGCCATTCTACAAGATAAAGATAATCGATCGTGCTTATTAGGAAACATGATTTCACACTCTCTTTGTTCTTTTTTTGCGGGTGCATTTGCGTGATATTTTTTTCTGCCATGTAGACCCTGTAGTTCTACTTTTGTAAAGTTTGGTTATTTGTGTATCAAACGATGAAAAACAAAATCCTGATACTTGGATTTTCTATCTTGCTTATTTCAGTTCTACCATAATTAATTCTCAGAGGTTGACACCAACAACACAACTATGTAATTTTGATCTCAATTCTCAGTGACACCAACAACACAACCATGTAATTTTGATCTCAGGTCCACATGAGATTGGACACGATTTTCTCCACATAGAAGTAATTATCAAGATCTAGTTTATGGATTTTGCAACTTTGTTGCAGCTATGGTGAGGCACCAGCATGATGGTAGAGAGGGCAATTTTTCATTGTTTTTCATAATTTCATAAACCCCAGCAAAAAGATACCATAAAAGTGCTATGCAAGGTAGTCTCCTTTAGCAATATTGAAGTCTGTGTATGGCCTATAAAGTCCCCTATCTCCTCCTACTCATAAAGCAAAAACTGAATCATTATCATTAGGTTCACAAAACACTACACGAGTTATGCCAAAATTACATAAACAGAGGACAGACATGAACAAAGAAAAGGCTATGCCAGCATGATTTGATCATTTACAAAATAAAAGTCAATGCAGAAGCTTTGTTAGCAAGTCATAATCGTGCTTTTCTTTCACCAATTCATTTCAACCTTGTGTTCCCACTTTTCTTCATAAATAATTAATGGATTGTTGTTTAGTGTAAACTTTGCTTACTCCTGGATAACGGCAATTATTTGATTTGATGGGTCTGATTAAAATAAATCCATAATGTGACATGTATGTATAATTGAATGGTTGAGAGTATTAAGAAATTCCCTTTTCCACTTTATAAAAGTACATGCTGTGTCGGCTAGTACAATGAGTAAGTGGAAAGGCTTAGTGTAATGTTTCCTGTGATTTTTGGTTGAGATGAGGTTATTCCTAAGCTAAGTTCAGCAGAATAATATGTTGAAGAAAGAAAAATTGAAACCTTACCTCATGCAGAAGAACAGACACATGAATCGAAGTGTTCAATCTGCACTTGTTTGGAAGATAAATATCTGCATTTTAATAGTTTTGGAAATCTTTAACACCTTCCACTTGTATTTTCATTTCACTTACATCACACAGTATCATTCAAATCACTTTTAGACATTGGAGGCCCTAAAACTTTCAAGACGCTTCAATATCTTCTACAAAACTCTACTACTAAGGAAATCTTAAACTAAGAGAAAAATAAAAGTAGTTTTATAAATCAAAATTATTTTTAGAAGCTCTTTCATATTTTTTTAAAAATTATTTTTAATTTATGTATAAATTAATTTTAACTTATAAAAGTATATGTTTTTCTTCTGCTTATAAAATTTTGGTTCAAAATGCTAGTGCTACAAAATCCATTAGTTACTAAAAGATAAGTATATGCATTAAAGATTTAATGTTTGATCCGAATTTGAGTCATCTTTATGTAATTTGAGAAGTCCATCTCCACCTTTACCACTAATTCCTAACAATAGTTTCAGCCAATTTTTGAAAATAGAATATTGTTCATTAAATTGGTGAAAGTTGATGGTTTAAGGTTTAATAATCTAACATAGTTAAACCCTGATCTTACAACTAGTTTAAACATATATGGTAATATTAGTGAGATAAATGTGAAAATAAATGAAAACATATATGACTAAAATAAATAAAAAATATTAAATTTAAAATTTTCTAAAATAAGAATTCTGAAAATAATGCATGTAATACTTACTAGGTAGCACCTATATGGACGTCTCGTGATTAATGTGTGGATATAAAATCATTAAAAAAGTTCACATGTACAGTACTAATAACATATGATAACTATTATAGCACTATTACATTAATAGAATTAGTAACTTAGATTAAAAATAACATATTATATTTCTTAACAAAAAAAGACACAAACTACGTAAACGAAAAATCTATTTTACCTAACTTTTAAACAAGATTTATGAAGCTGATTTAAACAAATTGTCCAAATAAAATTTGTGGCCAACGTTACACCTAGATTGGTTGACGGCATGCCTGGCTATTTTGGATCACAACTTTTCATCGTGGCTTTGCATGCCTTGGTGGTTGGAGTAGTCTTTGTCCTAATGAAAGAGATTACGAAAAGGACTATATATTATGATTTTTTATTATGAACTAATTAGAGATTAATGAACGACGTAGAAGCAAAGAAAAGAGAAATTATCCAAACAGAAAGTAATCTAAGAAGATGAATACGAAGAAATTGAGGCCAGTGAGTTGACACGTGTGCATGCATTTTTATTTGTAGTTTTTGAGGAAAAGGTTGACAAGGAGGAGGGGTTGGGGGCCACGTGTTGGTGTGACAGAAGTGTACAGTATGAATACATGAAAAATGTAGACGACTCAGGAACACCCATATCAATCTGTAATTTCCCTGTTGGGTTAAGGGGGAGGGAGAACACTGTGTGACGGTCACCTAATTAATGACACTGCTTGCTTCAGGTTTAGCTCAAACACACCATGAAAACCCTAAAAGCAAAGCTTCACGAGTAATTTCATGTGTTAGGAAAACAACATGGTTTTGTGTTGTGTTGTGTTGTTGGTGTTAGGAGAGGGTTGCTGCTAATTAATGAAATCACCATCTTTCTATCTCCCTCTCTACATCATATATATATATATATATATATATATATATATATATATATATATATATATATATATATATATTTATTTATTTATTTATTTATTTTGCGTTCTATGATACATTTATCAATTCATATGTGTAACATTTTTTTTAATAATATTATACTTTTCAGATACAATATTTTTATGTTGTGGGAACAAGTCTATATGACATGTAGGGTTTTATTATATTTTCTATAAGACGTGTTTTTTTTTATATATATTTTAATTTGAAACAGAACAGTGTTTAAAATGATTTAGTAAATTCGGTTATGTCATTAATTTTATTTTTTAATTTATTCACGAAAATAATACGTAGTAATGATAAGTCACTTAGTATTATAGGATAGATGATGTGACAAAAGCTTAAATAAAGGTGAAGAAACATGAATATTATAACTCTTATTATTACCTTGTGTTTTACATATAAATGGTTTTATTAGATTTTAATTAAACATATATATTTCCTCAAGCTCTGGCCCCTTCTATGTGCAAAGTCTTCATGAAGACGCAGAACCTGATTTCAAGTGTGTTTCAATAGATTAAGATCACATCCCATCATTGGTTTAAATAAACAAAAAAAAAGTGTTCCCCTTTCACAAAAGTTCAACGAAAAATCTACAAAACAATAAATGAGTAAAAAAAAAAAGGAAAACACTAAGCGCACACCTTCTAGCAGGAAAAAAAGGAAATAGACATAAATAATAATAATAATAATAAATAATGTAATGAAAATGAATAAAAAAATTGAGATGGGGTAAAGTAGATGTGTGACAATAATAGACACTGAAAGCAATTGTTGTGATTAAGAGATATGGAAACGAACTTATTTAAAAAAGTGTCACGGTAAATATAACATCTTTTAAGTAACACTAATCACTATGTTACACATTACATTGGTTTTTATCTTAGGTAAAAAAAAAAAAAAAAACTCTCTGGGCTTCTAACTAGTTAATTATAGACCCACTAATATAGTAATATCATATTACGACCCATCTTTTTCAAAAACCTAAAATGTAGTAAGGGGTGTAACTATATATTACATTCTACGTGCCTAGATTTCAAAGAAACGTGACTGAAGATTAACTTTGAAGAACTATACCAAATTTGGTGGAAATAGTGTGATGCCCTAGATTTTGGGTAGTCATAAAGCTTGATAAAAAAGTGTCATAATAGCAAGATTCTCATAACTTAATTTGAAAGAAGTTTCATCAATTTGCCAAAGAGGATATATATGTGTGGATGTAGTTAAAGAACCAAAACGAGTGGAATCGAACAGAGCAGTGAAAGTTTAATGCCGCCATCTATTACAGTTAGGCGACTAATTTCTTCAAAAAAGTGATTACTTTGAAATAGAGAGCAACATGATACATGGACCATTATCTAATTGTTACTCATATTGCACCTGTCAATTCCACTTTTTGAAATCGTACGTGGCAAAAATGTTTCAAAAGTCAGAAAAAGAGAATTTACGTGGCAGAAAAGTTGCATGACTCACTAAGTTGAATAAACAAGTGGCTTAGCTTTGCTGATTCAACTAAATTAAATGAAGAAAACCATGCCATTTTCATACGAATAATACACAGAAGATTCTTTCACCTTATTTAATTTGACTAATTTGTAACGCATTATCGCTAAGGATGCATTATCACGTAAACATCATGCATGCCCCCTCAAATTACATCTCCAAGCACCTTCCAAATGAAACCCTACCGTGGGTTCCTCATGCGCTTTTATATCCACATATATGTATAACTGCATGGCCTACCAATGCCAAGTTCGAGGCTATATATACCACCTTTCCCTTGCACTTTTCATTCACAAACATCTCTAAGAAAATCCTCTCTTTCCTAGCAAGCTTTCCAACAGAAAAACCATTTTGATCACTGCATTTCCATATGGATAAGCTCTTTTTCAACTGTTTCATTGGATACTGTCTTCTTTATTCTCTCTGGGTTGTGCATGGCAAACAATTGTCTTGCAATGAAACCCCCTACCCCGGTGTGTGCAAACATTACGTTGACACTACCAACACATTATCAACCCTTGATGCTTCATCCTCTTCCTTCCATGATATGGCCCTTAAGGTCAGCATGGAGCAAGCCATGGAGGTTTATAAACTTGTCTCCAACATGGACTTGAATAATTTCAAGGACAAGCAATCCAAGTCGGCTTGGGAAGATTGTTTGGAGCTGTATGAGGACACACTTTATCAGCTCAAACGCTCAATGAACTCAAACAATCTAAATGACAGGTTGACTTGGCAAAGTGCATCCATTGCCAATCATCAAACATGCCAAAATGGCTTCACTGAACTCAACCTGCCCTCTCACCTAAACTATTTCCCCTCCATGTTAAGCAACTTCTCTAAACTGCTTAGCAATTCCTTGTCCATTAGCAAGGCTATGACATTGACATCATTGTCATCGACTAAACAAAATGGTGGTCGAAGGCTGCTTTCAGGTGGCTTCCCCTCTTGGCTTTCACATTCAGATAGAAGGCTTCTTCAGGAAACAACATCGAAAGCTGATGTTGTGGTGGCACAGGATGGGAGTGGAAACTATAAGACCATCTCTGAGGGTGTGGCTGCAGCTGCCAAGCTCAGTGGAAAAGGGCGTGTTGTGGTGCACGTCAAAGCTGGTGTTTACAAAGAGAGTATTGATATCAAGAGGACTGTGAAGAACTTAATGATCATTGGAGATGGAATGGGTGCTACTGTTGTTACTGGTAATGATAACGTGCAAGATGGTTCCACTACTTTTCGTTCTGCTACTTTTGGTAAGTTCGTCGTGAACTCATGTATTCTTATAAACCATGCATATGTTTAGAACTAGATATAAACAAACCTAAATAAACCATTTCCAATTTCCATCCATGTTATCAACCAAGCTAAAAAAATTAAACGATGGCATGTGAATGATTTAAACTATTAAAAGTATCTATCTATTCATGATCATTATTCAGTTTTTATCTATTTCAATCAGAACATGTAAAATATAATAGCTGATAAAAAATAGTAAAAAATAATATTTCTTTCACTCTTCGGAAAATTGATCCCTACATCGCCTGACCCCACTGAGATAGGGACATGCAGTAGTACTCATTTCTGTACAACTTAGTGTTACGGACGATCATAATCAAAACTTCTTGTCATTTTCCTATGAAGAAATTTAAAAGAACAGTTTTCATTTTCCAAACAGTGAAAGTAACCAACACGCTGGAACCAACAATAATAACACAAATCATATATTATTATTTTTTTCAAAAGTGAAACAAAATTTGAAGTGGGCCTGATATAATTTCACTTACACTTAGTGAAAATATCTCTTCCATGATAAAGAAAAAAAATCTAATTATTTTATTTTGCATCTATAACTAGATGATCACTATTTAAAAGTTAAAACCGTTGATTATTATTGCAGCGGTTTCTGGTGATGGCTTCATTGCTCGGGATATTACCTTCGAGAACACCGCCGGACCGCAAAAGCACCAAGCGGTGGCTCTCCGTTCCGGCGCGGACCACTCGGTGTTCTACAGGTGCAGCTTTAAGGGGTACCAAGATACCTTATACGTCTACGCCAACCGCCAATTCTACCGTGACTGTGACATATACGGAACCGTAGACTTCATTTTTGGGGACGCCGTGTCGGTGCTTCAAAACTGCAACATCTACGTGAGGAAACCGATGAGCAACCAGCAGAACACGGTGACGGCACAAGGAAGAACCGACCCTAACGAGAACACAGGCATCATCATTCATAACTGTCTTATCACTGCAGCTGGGGACTTAAAAGCAGTGCAGGGCTCTTTCAGAACATATCTAGGTCGCCCCTGGCAAAAGTACTCAAGGACTGTGGTCATGAAGAGTGCCATCGATGGCTTGATTAACCCTGCAGGTACACCATTTTTTTTCTGCATCACTATTCCTTAATAAATAGGGTTGTGGTGTGTGTTTTATCTCAAGTTAAAATGAAGTTACACAACTCCATCAGAAATGGTTGGAACAGTTCTTCTTCTGTTTAAAGATGGTTTACTCCAATCATTTAAGTTATTTAACTTTATTTTTACCTTAATATAAGATGGAGAAATCTAAACCATAGAGAGATATGAGATAAGGGCTATTCATTGGGTAAGGCCTACATCCTGTGTCCTTTATTTTATTTTTCCATTTCTTAGACAGTGAAGTTACAAATTTTCATCTTCTCCGGTCATAGACCGTACGAAGAGAGAAAAAAGGGAGTGGGTTAAAAGTGGGGCTCGATCTCTATCTTTCTTTATCATGAAGTACGATTGCTGCTAAGCAAATAAAAATAAAAATAAAACAGTGTACACTAATATTTAATTAGCAACTAATGACAAAGCTCAGAGAATGTGAAAATAATAGAGGTTTGATACGATAGAATGGGGATGTTCAAAAGGATAATCACTGGCTAGGAAAAAATAATTAAAATAAAATACAAATATTAAATTTACACATTTAAGGAATATATATATATATATATATATATATATTAAATAATATTTAATTATATAGAATAATTTATTATTAATTTTAAATTAAAATATTAAAATTATTGTGAAAGTTTTATAAATTAAATAAAGAATAAAGAATTCTGAAACTAACGTGCTTGTAAGTTTAGTAGTAGTAAGTGGAGTTTTTACATACTTACGGTAGAAGAACTGAAAGAGTATGTTTGTACAGGTTGGTTTCCATGGAGTGGAAACTTTGCTCTGAGCACTCTGTACTACGGTGAATATGCGAACACAGGAGCAGGTGGTAGCACCGGAGGGAGGGTGAAATGGCCAGGGTTTCGTGTGATCTCCAGTTCTGAGGCTGTCAAGTTCACCGTTGGAGATTTCTTGGCCGGGGACTCCTGGATTCCTGGGACTGGCGTGCCCTTCGATGCAGGTTTATGAAAAAAGATAACTGAAAAACCTCTGTGTTTTCTTGTGCTGTGTTGTGTGGTTTGGTGTGGTCAGTGTGTGGGTGAAGTGGGGGAGGACTTGGCTGGTGTTTTTTCCAAATAGTGGATATAACAACTCCGTAAAAGAAAGGCAAATGTTGGGCTTTTCCTTGTACAGAGGGTACACAAATTGCTGTACTTCAATTTGGTGGGTTTCTTCTTCCCTTGTCTTTTAGGACAGTCTGTTCCTTTTGTCCACAGAAATTTGAAGGAGCATTGATCCATTCATGACGATACTTGATAGATAGATACGAATATTCAAATATTCTGTACTTTTATATATTTTTTTTCTGACGTGAAGAATATCCTGTATATGTATAAATAATTGTTGTAAAAAATGCTTACCCATTTGTGTATAAAAGTCTTTGATTCGAGTTTTTCCATCTTGTACTATACTTGCATACATGTTGCATATTCTTCAGCTCCACTATTTTTATTTCTCCCAATTATACCATTTCTTTTTTGGTTGTACAAAAAATTAATTTACAAATTTAATGTATGATTAAAAGTTAAATTACGTGGGAAACATATACACAAAAATGAATTTGAGGTTTGGTAGAAGATTGAGGCTGAAATTGTAATAACCAACAGAAGGAGAAACAGTTGCAATTAATGTTTCATTATCCTATGCAGTTGTGTATTCAGAAAATTCACATAATACGTTCATAAATAGCCATGTACTATTCTCTTATCTTCTGCAAGCTATTTAATAATCTGAAACTAAAAGAAATAGTGTGTCTGTGCGTGAGATAAAAGACATGTTGCATGAAATTAAAGAATGATTTTACTAACATAAGCACAAGATTAAATGAGTTTTTTAAATGTAGTATAACATGTCGTTTTCTAGTTGAAAGGGAAGAGATAATGGATTAAGGAAACTAGGTCACATGGAAAGTTAAACACAATTAGGTTGTGGTCCTTCGTTGATGTTAACATTCTAATTGTGGAAGATAGCTGCCAAACGGTAACACAGAAGAAGCATTGATCTGAACAAACAAGTCATGCTGTCTAGTCTTCTTCTTCTACATTTGTTTTACTGTTCAACCGCTAACAAGAAGTTGTAAGAAGCATATTCTTTAGCGAAAATAAATATAATACCATGATTAAGGAAAAGCAAAAGAAAATGAAGTGTGATAAGATGTTTAGAACTTGAAAACCCTTGTCCATAACTGGTCCACCCATCAATTCTAATAGCTGTCTTTTGCTCGTTTTATCTTTAACAAAATACTTGGATGAAAAATTCCATTTAATATGATGTTGAACCAAACCAGTGAAATTGATTGGAGGAAAACTAAATCAGATTAAAATACCTACCTTAAATGTCGATAAATTGTGATAAATCAAAGCGTGTGACAGAAATTATATAACTACATAGCATCTGAATTATTATTAATCCGAGTCTCATTTATTTATTATATATATAAAAAAAGTTATAAGTGTGTATACAAAAGGCACAGGCCTATACATTAAATAAAATCTGTATTTTGAAATATATGATCTTTAACTTGAACGCATAAAATACGAAACCAGTCACATAAGAGCAATTTACATGCATTAACGTAAATAAAACATGAAAGGTAACGATGGAAAATGACCCTATCCACACGTACAAGATAGATAGATAATTTATGAGAAACCTGTGTACGAGGCTCTTTTTTTTTTCCGTACAGCTTAAAATATCCCGTTGGATAGAAAGTAGTGACTTTGTAATTTAGGTAGAATTTTCGAACCTAAATGACACTTCTGAAAAAGAAAAATAGGTAGAATTATAATCAACATATATGCACGTCAACACCAACATATTTGATAGTTGAAAATTATATATATATATATATATATATATATATATATATATATATATATATATATATATATATATATATATATATATTCCAATACTAATCTATTTAATCATTATCTGTTTTATTTTTAGTTATTTTTAATAATTAGGACGAATGTCGCCCTGTCAAAGAGTTAAATATTAATGGGTCAGTCAACCAATTTATATATATATATATATATATATATATATATATATATATATATATATTAAATACATGTTTATTTATATAAATAATTTTTAAGTTCTTATTTATTAATTAATATTTTTATTAAATAGATTAAAAAAATTATAATATTTATGTATTAAAATATCTAATTATAATTAATAGTTTAAGTTTAATTGATTAATATTTATAATTTAATTTATAATATTATAATATATTTTGATATTTTAATAATATAACACAAAAATATAATATTTTAAATTTTAATTCTTATTAATTTAATTTTCATATATAAATATTTTTTAAAAGCGATTGAGTGGGCTAACTTATCCCATCATACTCTTTGTTCATTATAGACCAAATATTTGATAGATTAAAATTGTCAAATTCATTTCATCAAGACGTATTAATGGATTGACTAGTCAAGTGTACTCTTTTTTCATCTTATTGTGATTTATATATTATTTATTTTTTAAAAGAAAGTAAAACAAAGTGATATTATGTGTTTCTAAGATTAGATTTCTAATTAACATGGTAATCCTGATAAAGTGGATTTTTTTAACTATGGATCTAGCAAACGAAAAATTGAGATAGATCCGAGAATAATATTAAAAAGATATATGTTGTTAGAATTTAATTCCAACCTTAGGTTTAAGGGTTAAGTTTTAGTTTGTGTGGTGTATTTTATATAAGAGTACCCATAACTCGAGAAAAATAATAATAATATTTTCGAGTTTATCACAAATATATATAAATTAAACACATTATTATGCAAATTATTGTGTGTATCTATACACATGTGAGGTATATAGAGAAAGGAACACTACAAGAAAATCGCGTATTACAGACGGATATTCTACAGACGGATTTGTAGCCGATCGGAAAATAATCATTACCAACGGAAATTATCGACGGATATAAAATATTTGTGAAATTTGATGTTACAGACGGATATATCCGTCGGTAAAATAATAATTAGTTACAGACGGATATATCCGTCGATAAATCCGTCGGTAATATATAGATGAATTTACAGACGGATATATCCGTCGATAAATCCGTCGATAAATTAACAATTAATTATCAGACGGATATATCAGTCGGTAAATTCATATGTAAATTAAAAATTATTTATCGAACGGATATATCCGTCGGTAAAATTATATAATATAATTTAATTATTCACTAATTAAAAAATAAAATATTTTTTAATTAATAATTTAATTTAATCATAATTAGATAAATTTATAATCATTTATTAAATTAAGTAATTTTAAAAATAAATATTTAATTATATATAAATATATAAAAATATATATAAATATATAAAAATATATATAAATATATATAAATATATATAAATATATATATATATATAATATATATATATATATAAATATATATATATATATATATATATATATATATAAATATATATAAATATATATAAATATATATAAATATATATAAATATATATAAATATATATAAATATATATAAATATATATAAATATATATAAATAAATATATATATATATATAAAATATATATAAATATATAAAAATATATATAAATATATATAAATATATATAAATATATCTATATATATATATAAATATATATAAATATATATAAATATATATATAAATATATATAAATATATATAAATATATATAAATATATATAAATATATATAAATATATATAAATATATATATAAATATATATAAATATATATAAATATATATAAATATATATAAATATATAAATATATATAAATATATATAAATATATATATTTATATATAAATATATATAAATATATATATATATATATATATATATATATATATATATATATAAATATATATAAATATATAAAAATATATAAAAATATATATAAATATATATAAATATATATAAATATATATATATATATATATATATATATATATATATAAATATATATAAATGTATTTGTATATTTGTATATAAATATAATTTATTTGTAAATTGTTATCAAGAAATTCTAGTAGCTTAGTGGTTGGAGTATCGACTCTACATTCTAAGATCTTGGGTTGAATCCTGTTAATGACATTTCTCTTAATCGACAATAATTCAAAGTTATAAAAATTTAATATGGAGAAATAATTAGTAATAAATAATAAGAATATAAGGGGAGGGGTTTTATAAAAAAAATGTTATAAATAAGTAAAATATTTAATAATTAATAAAATTATTACGATTTATCGTCGAATTAACACATTCGACGATTTTTGTTATAACGATTTTGCGTCGTAATTTTAATATTTCTTGTAGTGGAAGTGAGAGGAGGAGTTTATCTGGTGGAGCTGTGACAGTGGATAGTGGAACCCTAAAGTGAACTGGAGTTCTCACGTGGTCACTGTGTTCTTTTGAGAACACTCTCTCTTTCTCATGTTGTGTTTTTGGTGTATGTTAGTAGCGTGAGAGAACGTGGGTATTATTACCCTTTAGCAGAAAGAGAAGTGGGCCTACTCATTGGGCTAGTTTCAACCGTGGTATCAAGAGCAGGTTACGAACCAGGGACATTTGCAGTATGACAGAAAACGAAAATGGCAATGGGAATTTCTTTTCTAATTTGTCATCTCTTGATGGAAAGAATTATGATCATTGGGTCATAAGGATGGAGGTTATTCTTGGTTATCAAGAACTATGAGAAGTAGTAACAGAAGGTACAAAGGAGAAGGACGAAGCCGCAAACAAGAAGAGAGATTGCAAGGCTCGGTGTATCTTGCATCAGTGTGTGGATTCTGTGAATTTTGAGAAGATAGTCAAGGTCAAGACAACAAAAGAATGTTAGGAAATACTGCGGAGGGCTCATGGTGGTGCAGAAAAAATCAAGAAGGTCAGGTTGTAGTCTTTAAGAAGACAATATGAGTTACTTTCAATACAGGAAACAAAAAGTGT